GTGCGCCAGCACCGAGCAGGCAATCGGCACGGCATACATGCCCACCATCGCCCCCGGGTTCGATTCCAGGTGGAACGTACTGTGCCAGCGCTCCTCGAGCGCGAGCATCCCGCGCCGCACCGCCTGGCGGATCAGCGACACCCACACGGGGAAGAACAGCCACACCAGGATGGCCACGGGGTCGTCCACCACCAGCACGACCACGGACGGCACGATGAACCCCAGCGCGACCCCCGCGGGGATCGCCACCGTCTCAGCCACCTTTGTCAGATGCCGCATGGACTCGCCAAACGTCGGGTCCGCGGGGCCGACGAGCTCGACGGGCCCGCGGGCGCGCGCGGCGAGGATGGCGCGCGCGCGGTGGAAGAAGGCCGGGATGATGAGCAGCTGCCAGGCGATGGCGCCGCCGAGGAGGGAGAAGACGAGCCAGGCGCCCGTGGGGTAGGCGATGAGCAGGCTGGGGGCGTTGCAGATGCGGGCGGCCTCGACGGTGGAGACGGTGAGGAGGCCGGCGATGAGCGAGAGGACGACGGCCATGATGGCTGAGGCGCGGACCCCTGAGAGGGCTTCTTGGAAGAAGGAGACGAGGAAGCAGAGCGGCGAGCCGAGGACGGGGATGTGCGACAGGAAGGGAACGCGCGAGCGCGCGTGGCATTGCGAGTAGAGCATGTAGATGTTGGTGTCGCTGTGGGCCCAGAGCGTCCAGCCGGTGAGGAGGGCGAGGAGGATCGGGGGGATGACGAGGTAGCGGAGGGAGAAGTGGTGGACGGCTTGCCGCGGCCGGCGCGAGGGGGCGTCCATGGCTGCTGTTGGATGTCGGATTTGCTGGTGTTGAAGACGTCAAACTTCCTGGGTGAAATGGAGGGGGGAGAGAGACGACGGCGGAAAGAGGGGCAGGCTGGGTCGCGAACCTCGTGATGCCTTTTTTTTGTGTTTGTGGTCGTGATCTCGCCTAACCAACCGCGGCGCGGGGAAGCAGTTCATCACGTGTTGCTGACAGGGGATTGGGGCCTGAGGGGGCGGGGGAATTGTGCCGAGCTTTCCCTCTTCAGGGCACTTGGGGGCCAAGGTGCCCTGAATGAGCAAACGCCTCCTCCACCATCATCCATCACCAAGGTCGGGTCATTCCATCTTGACCATGTCCCTCGCTGACAACGATCTCCAGATGCTGCACGCCAGCGCTCTTTCAGCTTTCCCAATCCGACCATGGCTAGCACGTGCCCAAAGCTAGTGTGCGCTGCCTGTCGAAGCAGAAAGAAGAAATGCGATGTCTGCAAATTCCATCCCCATCCCAAGGCAACCCCCCCTCCAGTGTCCATCCTCTGACCTAGGCCCGTCTTCCAGGGCATCCAACCGGCGTGTTCATCCTGTCTAAAGCGTGGCGTCCTGTGCAGCTACGGGCCTGTTGAATGCGGCCAATTTCCCCTGGCATCCACGGTCAGGTCCGGTGCCCTCTTCCCCGTCTCCGGGAGCTTCGCCGTGTCCGGGCCGGCCCCGTTTTCGTTTGACTGGGGTTACCCTGACATCAACGACCCCTTTTATGCCCTGTCAGCCCCGGACGACCTCCTGCTCGACTCGCTCGGCTCGCTCGACCCAACATTGACGACGGCTGCAACTGACTCTTCGTTTTCCACCACCAACACTGCCTTCAATCCGCTCTATGCCGCTGCGGACCAGACAGGTCAACTCTTCCCATGGGGAGGGCTGAACCCGGCCGATTTCCCCATCTCTGCTCCTTTCTCACAGCCGCCTCCTCTCGCGAGACTGCCGGTTGCAGGCTGGCCTACCACGCCGATGGACGACCTGATCAACCCCAAACCAGAGCCCAATCTCAATGTCAACGTCATCATCGAGCTCGTCGACCTCTTTTTTGACCGTGTCCAGTGCTTCGTGCCTCTGTTTCACCGGCGGAACCTCCGGGACTCCGTCCTCGCCCAAGGGACATCTCCCTCGTGCCCCTTGCTACTGTACTCCATCATGGCTGTCGCTGCTTTTGCCCACCCCGACCCGGACGTCAGGGCCAACCGGCCCCTCTGGTACAGGAAAGCCAAGATAGCATACGAAGCCACCGGCCACATGCCAGAGCAACCCCTCGAGACCCTACAAGCCGCCACCTGTCTCGTCCTCTACGCTTTTACCGTAGGAGGCCACTCGGACGGCCTGCTGATTCTCGGCAAGGCATCGAGGCAAGCTGTCGCCCTCGGCCTCCATCACATGGATTCACCGACCCGGGCCATGTTGCTCGGCACGACGTTGCCGGGATCTGGGGACTGGCGCGAGACGGAGCAGCGGCGGCGCGTCGTATGGGCTCTGTTCATTCTAGACCGAGGCATGTGCTTTCTCGCTGGATTTGCCTACGCCATTGACGACCGCCAGCTCCGGGTCCGGCTACCAATGATGGAAGCCATCTTTCAAGATTCCGACGAGGTACGCTTCCATGAAATCCCTTCATCTTGGGGCAGCGCTCATTCCCAACAGCCACAAGACACAGCCATGTACTCCCAAGACCCAAAAGCGCTGCTGGCGTCATTGCAGCAACACACAGCCGGCAACCCGCTACACTACCTCATCCTCTCCTACTCCCTCCTCGGTCGCATCTCTGAGCACATCTACTCGCCCGAATACGACGAGCAAGATGCCCCTCAGCGTTCCGAGCGCGAAACCCTCGAACAAATTCTGACAAAGATGCGACTAGTCCTTCCTCGGTCCGCCACCGACTTCGCGGCCGCGAGTTCGTCCGACTTCCGATATGCCGTCTGGCTTCGGATATCGATGGATGTTCACACCATCTTTTTGCACCACACGCCAAAAAAGACTTTACAGCATCATGATCGAGACGAGTGTCATCAGGACAACTGGAACCGCTGCGTCGCTACGGCACGCAACACGGCCCTCCTGATCCGCGAGGCTAGCCGCGTCTCTGTCGACCTCCTCATGAACCCGCTGCTGGCGGCTCCCATCTTTGTTTGCGCTCGCATCCTCGTGATTGAGTATGTCTTGACCAGCCACCCGCCTCCCGACCCACCGCGGCGCGACTCCGCCCTACGCGCCGACCTAGAAGTAATGGTCCTCGCTCTCGACCGTCTCAAGGAAGCATTCAACGGTGTTGAAAAATTCCGTGTTGGACTATTCTTCCACCTCCGCCACGACTCCGCCGCCCTCCTCACCATAAAATCCGAAGGCAGCCGTGGCATTCTCCGCACCTGCAGCAAATGGACATGCTTCTCCGACCTCGACGTCCTCTCCGCCATACCCGACTGAGCTCTCACACCAACATCCTCCCACCATTCGTCTTCACCACCTCCCCCGTGACAAACCGATCCTTCATACAATACAGATACGCCTCGGCCACGTCCTCCGGCCGGCCCACCTCCCCCGTTAGCGTCTGTCGCCTGAGCGCCTCGACAAACCCCTCTAGCGCCTCCCCCTCCAGCCCGCCCCATAGCTCCGTGTGAACCGCCCCCAGCGACGCCACATTGAACCGCACCGGCTTCATATCCACCGCCAACCCCCTCATCAACCCCTCAATCGCCGCCCCGACTCCCGCCACGAACGCCCACCCCGGCATCGGCCGGTCCGTGTTGGTGCCCCCCGTCAGCGTTACCGAGCTGCTCGCCTCCTTCTTGATGAAACCCGGCAGCGCCTTGGCCAGCATCGCCGCCGCCAAGAACCGCACCTGAAACAACTTCATCACCGACGCGGGCGTCGCGTCCTCGATGCGCGGCGTGTCGAGCGGGTCGCCGGCCGTGAAGACGACGTGGTCGAGGGGGTGGCGGCCTGAGTCGGTCGCGAAGGCGAGGAGGGATTGGATGTTGGCCTCGACGGTGTCCGGGGAGCCGAGGTCGCAGGCCTTGGCTGTGACGGGGAGAGAGGCGGTGGGGTTGAGGCGAGAGAGAGTGTTGGAGAGCTTGGTGGGGTTGGAGGAGCTGATGATGACGGTGGCGCCGTGCTCGAGGGCGGCTTCGGCGACGCAGAAGCCGACGCCGGATGTGCCGCCGAGGACGAGGACGCGGCGGGAGGCGAGTTTGGCGGTGTACTTGGGGGGGAGGGACATTTTGGGGGTGGGTATGTGTTAGTGTTTTTTGGGTGGATGCAGATTGTGAGAGCAAGCTTGTAGATGTCAAATGATGAAAGGCGATGATGGTGAAGAAGCATAGGGAGGAGAGAGAGGCTGGCATAGGCACCTTTATAGACGAGCCCAAGCTGATGAACGTACATCTTTCTCTGACGATGCCCCAGCCGGCGTCCATGGTCCCGCGCTGACAAACTCCATAAGTCTATGCCGCCGTAACCTTCCCGTGCCGCAAGTCGGAGCCGTGTTACTCCGCTTTCGAGGGGTCGCGATGTCAAAAGTGGGTCGATCGCGCCCCTTGGCGTCGCCGACGAGCATGCACTGTCGGCGCCGCTAAGCCAAACCGGGTGCGGGGATCGCGGAGAGCGGGGCGGCGGTGCGGGAGATCGCCGCGAAGCGAGCGAACGATAGTGATCCGTATTGGTGGGGTGTCCACTGAGACATTCAACATCCATCGACAACAATATCTGCCATTGCCGTGACTGCATACGTGCTGGTGACTTGTGTGAATTAGACCATTAGTAGAGTTTTGAGGTGGGTGCTGATGGGACGGTTGTTTTCGTGAAGAATTTATGTGACGATGGGAATGTCGGGTATGGCTTCTTCCAGCGCGCAGGCAGCGTGTAGGTAGACTTCCAATTCTGGGCATGGTGCAGTGTGGTCCAGACTAGCGAGCTCAGCCGCAAGTAGTATATCGCAGATCTTCCGCTTAGCATTCCCTGTGTGCTGAGTTATTGAAGGAGACGTCTAGAATGATATGATCCTGTGCGAGATCAAGCGTCGTGGGTGACAGATCCCGGCTCGATTCCGGTGCCTGTCGAGGAAATTCACCTTCTGTCGCATCAGGCCACGTTTCAAGAACCGCGGACACTCCCCGCGGGAGCAGGTCATATGCCGAAACGCCTCACCAGGTGTCAACAATACTCCAGGGGGAGTGGCTCAGTGGCACAGAGCGCAGCGAACTTGCATTTGGTCTGATTTCACCTATGAACAGCGTCCTCACACCCAGAGATGCCTGTTCCTAAGGTCCTGGGTTCGAATCCCAGTTCTCCCAAGTTATATTTTTGTTCCAGAACACAGTATCCTTCCCCCCACAGCCCGGAGGTAGCATCTTTCTGTCGAAGTCTCTTTGGATGTTGTCAAGACCCTTTTCCCTGAGGCGCAAACTAATCCCTCCTAGGGATTCGGCACTTGCTGCCCGCTGCTTGAAAGCGGCTGCATCTGTATGCTACCGGCGTTGCCATGTGTCGATGACTGGCCAACCTGTGCCAGCAACGTCCCCGATCCGGAGGGAGGATTGGGGGCACCGGTAGGGGAACTCCCAGATGACACGCTCAAAGGATTTTTCATGTGCATAAAACCTTTCTCGGCCCACGCCTCCCAATTTTTAAGGTCATCGTCCTGCTCTGCTACCTTGACCAAGTTAACGCCTGGAGTCGCCGTCGCCTTCTTAGCCACCGCCTCGAGATAACGGCTGACGCCGGTGGCCTCCCCGCTAGCCGTGGTGTTCCGAAGGAGAAAGGCGTTCCCCAACATCAGCCCCTGGTGATTTCGAATGATTTGTCGGTTCCAGAACAGATGAACAGCCAGGAATAGCGTCGTCAGCATCGCGGCCCCGACGATGCCGACGACGGCGTAGGTGGCCTGGTAGACGACAAACAGGCGGACCTGGTCATGGGCCAGGGTTCCTTGGACTTCTCGTCTCGACGCATCCGAGTATGCCATCAACGAGACGTAATTCGAGTACACGCCGCGAAACACGGCCTCGAACGAGCGGAGGAGACTTATATCCATGGGAATGTAGTCGAGTCTTGGTCGGTCCGAGGCGTGGTCGATAACGAGCCGTCCGAAGCTGTCCACGTCTTTTACGGGCCTGCCGGAACTATAAGTCGGGAGATCATCCAAGAGCCCTTTAAAAAACCAAGGCCAGAAGGGCTCTCTGCTCCCAGCTTTCTCCTCAAAGTGGAGTATCTGAGCAACGGGCTTGCGGCCAGGTGTCTCGGAGTTGGAGATGGAAACAGTCACCGTCACGTTGGATCGGTGAAAGTCTGGCTTGCATGTCAAGATGACCATCTCAGTTAGGAGGAAGTCGTCGGCGGCAGGAATCCTACTGTCGCGGTAACTGCCTGAGAAAAAGCCAAGCCTCGCGCGACCGCTGGCCAGTCCGCACTCCGTGGTGGAAAACGATCTGCCGTAGTAGCTAGTGGTATTGAATACGTTGAACCACTTTTGGATTTTGCACCCCGCGTGAGAGTAATGCAGCCGGATCTGAGCACTGTTGAGCTCGGGATCCCATAGCGCCTGCTCGAGGAAGCCCTCGGTCCGCAGCTTGTCCCCAGTGTAGTAGTCGCAGTCGATGGAAGCCCAGTAGGCCTCGGTATCGAATGTGTAGTTCCCTGGGCTGCTGATCTGCAATGGGAGGTATGGCAGAAAGGAATGAGTGCCTGTAGTCCACGACAAGTTCTGGCCTCCCCTAATAAGCGTCGCGCTCACCATATCAAAGGCGGGCAACGGTGGCTCTTGTCGTCTGTCCACATCGCCCTCGGCAAAGCCCAACAGCTCGTCAAAAAACGTGTCGCTGTAGAGCCTGACGCCTGTCTGGAAGGGAACTTCGGCAACGTCGAAAATGGCAGCAGAGAGGCCGCCCGCCGTCCAAAGCGCAGCCCTGAGCCACAAGCAGACGCCCAGGAGTATGTGCCCGGTCCTCATCGCCTTGTATCCGTTATAAATAGGCCACTCTCCGTAGTCCAAGAGCATGGTCCTCTTGGCCGTCGAATGGACGACTGATGCTGTCTGCGGCGAAGGGGGTGGCGATTGTCGACGCCAAGAACTCGGAAGAGGCAACCTTTGATAGATGCTCTGCCACACTTTTCCGAGTGCTTTGATTCCGGGGATAGGCTTCTGTGCTGACTTGTTGAGTTCGAGGTCTGTGTGAACGGCCTTGAGCGAATCGAGCATCGCTGACCAGAGCGCTGAGTATAACGAGATGATCCACGCCGGGACCGTGGCCCAGACGATTTTTAAGCTGAAAATTGGGGTTGATTGGAAACCTCGGGCGTCGTAATGTGGAGCTTCGCTTTCCCTGACAGTTGCGATGCCCTTCTTGTGGTTGGACTTGTTCAAGAGCATCAAGAGGGTGATGATAATGGCGAACTGGCACGAGAGCTGGAGCAACATGCCCCCCTCCGTCAGCAGCAGTGGACGTCTCTTAGAATTCCACCGCGTCTGAATGTCATTGAGGGGCTGCTTGATGCGGTCTGGCAGAGACCTGATGGCTGTCCACAGCCGCATGAGAATCTTGAGCGCCCATTTCCCAAGTGCTGAAAATACAGCGCGAGTTATTGTCCAAACCCAACCCAAGGCGGTAACGATGCATGATCCCAGCGCCTTGGGGATGCCTGTGATGATTGCCCCGATCATTCCGAAATCTGCTCTTCCACAGAGCCCGGTCAGTGTTTTCTCCTCGCTTGGGCATTGGGAGTTTCACTTGCATTTCGAGGTTTAACCGCCTCTAATCCGTGTGCCTGAGATCGTTTGTGGGATCGATGAGTCGAGTGAAAGTGCGTCTACCATTGCCCAACTGTGTCAGGTGAAGACATGGAAATCGAAGGCGTCGAGGGCCAGATGATGCAGAGACCTGAAGCTGCCCGCAAGTTCCCGGCAAGTCGAGTCTCCAAAAATAGGGAGCTGAATCATGTGCTCCATCTTCGGGGATGAGAAGGGTGTGGACGATTGAGGAGGGCGAGAATCCCCCTCCCTAGCGACTTCCTGCTGAAGAGCCTCGCCGCCGTCGTCGCCGCTTCCCCACACCACTTCGCACCTGCCGCGTTACCCTTCAAAGATTACGAAGTGAGCATGAACGCTCAGCCTTGGTCCAGGAAAGGAAAAGATAATGAAGTGGCGTGGCGCTAACGAACCTTCCCCTCATCAGACAGGGGGATACGAAGGTTGCCCCTCAGCTGGAACTGGTGATGCTTCACGGTGGCTTGGCAGCCCACCATTATCATTGGTGTGCTGGCCAGAGATGGAGGGTACCAGATGCAGGGGTCACGGCCGTCTGGGCTGCTCTCGATTTCCACCTGGACGGGCTGTTGTCAAGAAGGTGTGGGTGTGGGCACCGGGATTCCTCTGGTCTGGACTCTCAATGGAGCTCGATAATCTAGACATCAGGCTCCCGACATTTATACGTCTGAAATGATAAGAAGAGCATGCTCCCGTCTTTTCCCAATGTTGCGCAAGGTCGAGGGGAAGTTCTTTAGTATTCGAAATTCTCTATTGTTCAGTCATATACTATCGCACTTTCCACATTATTCAATCACTTGCCACCATCCACCATGAAGACTCATCTCCTTGTCGTGTCCACCCTGATAGCCACCACAACGGCAGTCACAACAGCAAGCTTCGATTGCCTTGCTACCGAAGTGACGACCTTCCCAGGATGCAACGCCTTCCTCAACTCGAACGACGCCTGCGCGACAAAAACAGACCGACCCGGAAAGCAAGCCTGCCTCTGTAACCAAATCTACCTCGACTCGCTCTTCAAGTAAGCACTTGCGCCTCTCCCCCCCCCCGGAGGAGACCCCTAATCTCACCACTCACTCAGCTGCGAGAACGAAGTTCGCCAATGCTTCCGCAACAACGCCCTCGACGAGACCTTTGAGTCGGGCCTCCTCTCCTGGAGCAGTCTCTGCAAGACCTCGGCCACCCTCTCCTTCACGCCCACGACGGCACCGCCTGCAACGTTCGTCCCCTTTCCCGACGAATACTGCAACGACATCCGCTCAGCCTGCTCCTCGGCCAGGGTGCTCATCGACCGCTGTGTTCCGCTCACCTCGGACCTTTCGCCCGAGGGGGAGAAGCTGTTTTCGTCGTGCGTGTGCGCGCCGGATCTGCTGCGTAAGGACTACTCGTGCGAGTTCCTGGGGAATCGCTCGTGTAGGGCGACGGGGGCGACGATGGAGAGTGTGTTGGGGTACAATGAATGTAGCAACTTTCAAGCGGTGATTGGGACTGGCTTGGTGAGTTGGCCCATGCTGTGGTTGCGAAGCTTGGGTGAGACTGAAACTGACAACCGTCATTCGTGACAGCCTGGTTTGAGTGAAGCGACACAGACTGGTCCCCTCCCTACACTGCCGGCGGGGACAGCATCGCCAGGGTCCAAGACGAATCAGGTGCCTGGGCCGAGTTCAACTAATTCGGCCGAGGTGAAGGCAATGGGTGATGTCCTTTTCGTCATGGGCCTTGTGGGGTTGTCTGTGTGTTTCCACCTGCTCCTTGACTGAGCGCCGGCTGGTTTCACGCTCCTCGGCCACGGTATGTCGGTATTGCAAGACGAGGGAAGCTTGTACGCTTGGTACGTCCCAAGTCGGCCTCTCCTTGATAAGGCATCCTTAGATATCTGCAGAAATCTGCAGAAATCTCATCCAGCCACTCCATGAAGCAAAGCTAGAGGTGCACTGCGCGCCAGCTTCTCCCATCCCATTCTTGGGACGAAATCGCAGTGCTATGTCGTTAAGGTGAGGCTTGTGCCACGTGAGACGCCATGGCTGCGCCAGCGGGACCAAACACCGAATACTGCGGCCATGCGGCGCGGTACAGAGTCTCCTTGGCGGAGTGTTGACCTCTTATTGGAACGATCAATGTAAAAGATTTGGGCAGGAGCTTGTTGAGTAGTTTTATATGACTCATGAACAGGCATGACCAATGGATTGACGGCGGGTAAAGCCGCTGCTCCCAACCATCACGACTTTATGGCTTCTCTTTTCAAAAGGATGAGTCTGGAACACGAAATAGACAAGGCATTTTCTCGCCAAATCACCCCCCGCGTTTCACTACCTTGTCACAGCAATCATCTCTGTCGGTTGCATGCCCTGCTTCTCGACCAGCACCCCGGCCTTGCCCAAAATCTCCACGACCCTGTCCACCACCGCGGGACTCACCCCCTGCGTCCGCTCTGAAAATTTGACCGTCTTGAGCCACTCCCTCGCGTCCGCCTCCGAGTAATCTAGCTCGGTGCTGATATACTTGACCGCCTCCTCTGGATTCTCATTAAAA